TTACACAATAACGTACATTTAAAGATTATATCAAAGGACCCTGAAGACTAGAATTAAAAAGTTCTCTTCTCTATGAATGAGATTTCATTTTTGATGGTAATGGATAAGTTATTTACCACACACATTTGTTCTATGACAACAACTGCTTGTGTATTATTATTAGTGGTACACATTTCTGTTACTCTATGGCAACTACATGCCTAACCTTACTTTGGTGAAGGGCGCATAGGAAAAAAGTTATCTATATATCATCAGATCTATGTCCAGAATTAATTTTAATTTAACAGTATTTTATTAGCAGAACCTCTTATTTAAACTTTCAAAGTTAGCGAATGAGCTCAATTCCCCAATGAGTCCATGAAATGACAATCAAAATACATGAGAACTGTTGAGTTATTTCTGAATCATAACTTGTTAAACCATAAAGCTGACAGACCTGTATTATGACAGCAGCTATAATAACAATAAATTCAAGTCTCTGTAGTCTATTTCAGTTGGAGGATGTTAAAGAGCTTTGAATAAATAAAGTAAACTCAAGTAGAAAAATAAAAAACTACAATATCATGTTGAATACGTTCCGTTATGTTTCTACATTTAATGAAATAAAGACATCTAATTTAAAGAGAAATTGAAATTTGGTAGTAAACCCAATAAGAATAAAATAAAAATGGCCTTTTTCTGAAAAAGCCTATTTTCATTATTGAAATGCTTTTTTATGGTACACTGTTACTGTTATCCACTTTCCCATTCTTGGTTATTGAAACAATCATTGAAATGATAGTTCTTAATTCTTTGCTTAAATCTTTAAAATCTATTGATTTTTTAAAAATAGCTTGTTGATGAACTATTATGAAACTATATTAATTAAATTTTAGTTTTAAACAGTAATTTCATGAATACATAATACCTGAACTATAGGCCTACAGCTTGAGAGAACCATTTTCCTGCTCCTGTAGTAGAAGAAAGGAACGAGGAACCTTCAACATTGCTCTTAAGTTGGAGTAGAAGAATAATCAGAGCATTGATGTACTTGGGGTATGGAACAATGTTTTCAGCAGTGGCAGCAGTAAAGCTGATTATTCTTGTTGAAGAACTCATTCTTGTGATCTGAGCTTTATTTAGTATGCAGAGATTGTTGGACAATGCATAAAAATGTGAAAGTATCATTAACTTCATAGAAGTTCAGCAGCAGCAGCAAATCAATTAGAAGGAAGTCCTAAAAACGCAAACTTTATCTTCATTAATGTTTGATCAAAATGGATTTAAACTTGCTCCCTGTAGCTTCTGAATGTGCATCGCTATGCTGAAAGCTGAAAAGTAAGTTTCGTTACCTTATGAAGAAAGCCTATTTTTTTCAAATTTCAGATGAATATAGTTCATTTTCTAGTAGGAGTAAGCTTGTAGAAAATGTATGTAAATCAGGAAAACTCCAGGCTTCAATGAATATGGTGGTGAGAACTTATGGGGAGTAATGAGAATATTTTTAACTGGCAAGGGTCATGCATAGTCCTCCTAGATAACCCTAGCTTTTGAGCGGTATCTCTGAAGTTGGGCTGCACAACCATGAAGTACAGTATAGTTACAATAGTGCTCATTACAAACTCATACTAATATGGAAATGGCATTGCCAAAGAGGGGAGGCTGCTCAGGTGATCATGGTGGACTGAGGGAGCTGCATATTTATGTTATATTCATCCAGTCAAACTTACATGGATACTAATACTTTTCATTAGCCCCTTGTGACTGGCAATTTCCACCCCCTGAAAAAAAGGGTTATACTCGCTCATATTAAGCTAAACTGTGAAAAGAGAATGTGAACTGAATATGTGACGGTAGTGTCTGAAATTCCACCAGTCAGTTTGTGAATCTCCAGCTGAACTTCTGAAGGTTCAGTGGAGCTATTAAACTTGATTTTGAATAGAAAACGCAAAAGGTTTGATGATCTTAAGGAGAAATGCGCTTCTGAGATTAATGTTCAGCTAGGTATGTGTAAAGTCTGCAGCTTGAGATACTGTTATAAGGCAAACTGCGTAATAATTATTCTGTTATATTTTCCACAACATGTTTCTAAAAATATGAAAGAGTTTCTGTTGTGAATATAAAATATATACGTGTAAATATTATATAGATATAAAAAGCCATATAGTCTTGATAGATTCTCAATAGGAGGAAAAAATCCATGTTCTTTCATTTACTGATCTTTCTACTGATATTTTTCAGCGTGGGCTCCCATGATTTATGTGGACATCTGTCCTGTGAGAAAGGATTGCCAGATTTAACGAAGTTAAATCTGCGTACTGACAGATGGCAATGATGTCCACCGTAAGAAGTGTCTAAATTATTTAGAGGTAAGATGCTCTACACTGTATTATTGTTCTCTTTAGTCTAATTTTGCTGCTATTTATAGACATTGGTAGAGGCAAAAGAACTGTTGAAATTATGGGATTATAGAATAGGTAAAACTGTATTCTGAAAGTAGTATTTGATGAAACATATCAGTATACTATTAAGTGTAATATGACCAGGTACCATGAGCGCTTCATGCAGTAGAGGAAGCATTCCAGACTGAATGAATAAAATATTTCCAGGGATAATCAAGAAGGGCTTTTCTATATAAGAGAATAGCACAAGTGCAAATGAGGTCTAGGAAAATTGTAACTATTTGTATTTGGTGGATTTGGTTTTGGGAAGATATTTTTAGAAATATAAGCTTGCTTAGTAGTTAAGTGCTTCCTCTAAAGACAAAATCTGCTTTCAGCATTCACCAAAAAAAGGCATCAGAAGGCCTCTCACTTAGTCATGCAACAAACATAAAAAAGAGGAAGCAATAAACCCACATCTTATATCCACGTACAAGAAAAAAATACGAGAGTCAAAATCAAGGAAATCGTGTTTCAAACTCTGCGTCCAAAGTAGCATGACGGTGAATATTCCCAAGAAACAAACTGACAGTGCAGACATTTTTCTTTCACTTCCATCCCTAGTGGGAATGTCTTTTTTAATTTCAGTGTTTGAATGCAAGCAGCATACACATTAAAAATATTTTTGGTTGGTGAAGTAACACCATCTGCAGTTTTCTTGAAGTAGGTTTGTCCCTGTGTTTGTCTCCAGTTCTATGCTAATTATGTTAGAGAAGTGTTTATGCCAAAGTCGAAACAGATTTCAAGCAGTTATTTCAACAACAGCACTAATATACAAGGTGGAATAAGACTGGAAGAGTAAGTGTACAGTGGAATGTGAATGTACACAACAATGTGCACCAGAAGAGGTTCACAGTGGACATTAGGAAAACTTCTTCCATGTGAGTGTGGTAAAATACTGGAACAAGCTTCCTAAAGAGTTGACTGATGACCCATGCCAGCCATTATTTGAGAGGCATTAATAATACATGTTAGCTTTTGATTAGCCCAGAAGAGATTGGGCTGTTGGTTTAAATAAGGTGTGTCCAACCCTTGGACCAGATGTGGCTCTGTACAGCAAGTAATGGGGCCCCAGAACTTCATAAAATTCTAACATTATTGTATGATTTCAGTGACATATTTATTAGTGTGTAAGTTTTCTTATTTAAGTGTGCTTGTATTATTTTGTAAAATAATTTAGTAAGTTAACGCATTCACTGTGGAAAGAAGATCCAGAATACACATGCAGTGCTGACAAATTTAGCATTTCTGGTGAATTTGACTGCTAATTTAATAAATTAAACATACATCTTCAAGGTGAAAATCAATGTATCTGTGGTATGTTTCAAACCGTAAGTGTTCAAAATAAAAATTAAATTATGTCAGACTTAAGTTATGGCAAATATTTTTACGCTTTTTGATATAGAACAGCTATGGGCTATTCTGTCAGGGTGTTACAGCCATCAAGGTTTAAGTCAGGCAGGTACATACTGCAGACAGATGTGAAACCAGGAAATAACAGTGAACTGAGTGGCAAATGCACTGCTCAGTAATCAAGTCTGTGAATTTGTTAATCAGAAAAACAAAGAATCTCAAGTTTCCGTGCACTTCAGTGCTTTTGAGATATAAAAGATGCCAACCTTCCAGATTTTGCTGATGTCATGCTTCTGTGTTATTGCTTGTATTTGCTTTTGTGCAGGTTTTTCTTCTCATTAGAAGAGTACTGACCTTCCTTCCTGTGATGCTTTCAGACATCAGTGTTCATGCATCATCCTATTTTTCCTGTTTAAACTTGTTAAAAATACAAGTACATTGTATGCTAGGATATAATTATGAGGTTACTTTTAAAACAGAAAGAGCTTGATGTTCTAACAAATCTTTTATCTTCCTCAATATTTAAAGCACATTAGAAAATGGGAAAAGCAAAAAAAAAAAAAACAAAAAAAAAAAACCAACCTGATTTTTCTTTTCATGTTGTAAACTGTTTCAGCTGTGAGTTTTATCCAAACATGGTTCAAAGGGAAGTGAACTTTGGCAATGGAATGTTTTTCCTTTCAAACTGAAACTAATAAAGAAATCAAATACTAATAATATCAAATTATCTTTGGCACGTTGTCTCTGTACAAACTGTTTAGATACAGAAAGTGTTTTCATCTGATCAAACATCCACATTTTGTAACAAGTAATGAAAAGAATGTTCTATTACTCAGAGCTAGCTTCCAAGGAAGTCCATATTACAAAGTAAACCCAGGTACTTAGTTATCACTTTGACATCAAAGAAGTAATAAGAGAATGTATAATAAGGATTGCCAGTAACAGTTACTGTACTTTATTGCCATTAAGCTCTAATATTAACGTACTAAATCAATATGGCACATACACTTAAAGAACCTTATTTTGATAAATTAAAATAACATATAATAAATATATATATTTATTATATAAAATATAATAATATATTATATAATATATATATATATTATAATATATTATATAATAATAATAAAAATAAGTGTGAACTCCCTTGAATTATAAAAAAAAATGAGTTTGCTTATGACCCAAGTGTGATTTCCTTCCTCTTTCAAATTGGCCCCTGCTGATTTCAAAATTTCTTTGAGAAATAGCTCTTAGCCTTTGGAGCAAAAAGCAATATATCTGAGCTTTTTCCAAGAACTTTACAACTAATCTGCTATTTCTGTCAGGGTAGAAGAGTCGCATCATTTTAAAAATAGTCTATTTTTTCAGATAGCATACAGAAATAGAGGCTGCCTAAATGCATTGAAGATTCTCATTGGTACATGCAGCTCTCATGGATCCACATCTACCAGATGAACCTGATTTGACTAGGACTTAACAAACAGGTACTTTATTCCATTATTCTCTGTTCTCTTATTCTAAAGCAATACTAGTTGTTTGTAAAACAAAACAGGCATGAGTTATTAGTTGTTAAAAAAAGAATAAAATTAAACTTGTTTTTCTTGTCTGTTATAGTCTGTGCTTGTGTCCTGGTGATTGAGACATTGTTGTGGCAACTTATATCACCTCAGGAAAAACCCTAAATGAACTTTCTATAAATAATCTGCTGTGCATTTTCACAGTTATGGGATTTGATGTTTATTTCCTATAAAAACCTGTATTCATATTTAGATCAGATTTACTCTAGCACTCATTTACAATAATGCCACAGAAATAATTTTCTAAAACTTGGTGTTGTAGACAGATTACTAACAAAGCAAATCCAGCAAGCAACCAGAATATTCTGTCCTAGTGAAGACATTGTTTCTTTGGCTTCTACTCCATAAATGAACAATATAAATTTTTTTTCAGTAATAGAATAGCTCCTGCAGTCTCCACAGTGTTAGACCCACCATCCAGTTCACCTAAAAAACACACTTGTCATGACTAATTATTCCCTGCTAACATTTCTGTAAATAATGGAAAAATAAACCTCCCTGAAGTCAACAATGCCATTAGTCACTTTGTTCAGCAAAACCTCTCTGTGCAAATTTAGGTCAAATTAATGAAATTTAATTAATAATTTAACATAACTGAGTATGATGAGAAAAAACTACTTCTACTTCTTTCACATAAAACTTAACCCTTAAAATGTTCAACTAGAACATGAAAATACTGCTTGGATTAATGATAGCCCATGTATTGCTAATACTAGTTAGTTGCTAATATGATTCACCTTGCAGTTTCTAACTTTCGTTTTTCCCAACTAATCAATTCTGTTTCTGTAGATAACATATGAGCATAATTTATGTGATTATCTGATCAGCTCTTCTGTGCTTTGTTCTTTTGTGATTTAAAAAAATATTTTTGATAATAGTTGCTTTTCTTTATTCATTGATTCTGTTTAAAGTACTATTGTGCTAGAGACGGCAACTGTGCTGTTGCAGTTTGTTTATATGGCAATGCACTATGATGATATTCCAAAAAAAAATATGGGTGAAGTTCATTCTGCAGTAGTATTCCTCTTACATCTTTGGAAAGTAGTGCCTCATATTTCTGTAAGACAGATGTGCAAGAACAAGACACAGATTTGTTACAAGAACATAGGAGAGCAGCACACTGAAATCCTAATGAATCCTTTAATATACTGTTTTTCTTCTCTTTCTCTTGCTTTTAATATGTTACTACTTGAGAGGCTTCACTTCACTTGGATTGCATATCCTGAGGCTTGAAGACACCTTGCTTTGAATCCCATTGCAGGAAAATGGTCTATATTCATTGAATATAGTTGATAATGTGAGAGAGTCATTCAAAATCCCTGCTAAATTAAGAATGTTATAATTTGTGATGACTGCAGCAGTGAGATTCTCTCATTCTTGCCAGATCACCTGTCTCTGTGCAAACTGCCTGATTATAATCAGTCCTGAACTTCCTAGGTATTAATGAGGAGAATTTGTTTCAGAAGGCTAATGCTAATGATACAGAAAAGCTTACACAGAAAAAAATGTCATGAAATGGTAAAAACCAACTAATTTTGTCCCTGAATGAGAGCCAACTTCAGTGTGTTCAGTTCTCCAACAACTGTACACCCACAGGACTAAATTTGCTGTTAAGTTACCCCACAGGACTAAATTTGAAGCTGAGGCAGGTGAGAAGACATCAGATGAGATTCAGCCAGCCCCTCCTGAACTGTCAGCACCTTTTGCCAATGTAGAATGATGATTTCTGTGCACATATGTATGCACTCCTCCTGAACGCAAGCTTTGATGTCTGCCTGTGTCAAAGTTATTCAAACACTTTCTTTTAAGCAAACAAATGAAGAGAACCTCTTCCCTTATTTTTTTCTTCTATCTTTGGTAAAATAAGACTGTATAAATCCCTCCATGTATTCAGCTGGGATATAATCCAACAGTTTTGGTGGAATTTAATTATAGTAACATCCTAATTGAAGGTAAATTAAACAAGACTAAAATCAAGAACTGTCATACTAAATGAAAATCTAAATTACATCAGTAACAGACAGTTCTGTCCTAGAATTATGACTTAAGGAGTGTGACATTCTGTTTTCAGGTTAATCAATGAAAGCTTCACGAATATTTTAAAGCCTTCCTTAATCTATTAAAGGCCAAATTAAATCTAAACCTCTGAAAGACGCTGAGCAGGAGAGCAAAGTGAATCAATTCACTTTGGAGAGGAAAAATGCGTGCAATGAATGAGCGGGCTCTCTTGGAGCTTTGATGGTCTTATAGGTTGGAGTTTATTCCAGTCCAGTGACCAGTGCAGAAATGTGCTTGCCTGGAACCTAATCACTTAGGCTTATTTTTATTACCTGATCACCTAGACATTATTTTTACACCACGTTTACTACAATGTTAGCTTGTACTGGCAGTCAGCTGCCTGTGTGATGCCCTGCCCAAGCCTGGGTGAGTGAATGCAAATGTGGGACTCAAACCCCTGTGGGAATTTTTTCCTTCCTCTTTTCTATCTTGTCTCAGAACACCAGGAATATTACATTGTTTCATCATCATAGACACATCTATCATTATTTTGTCTTGTAACTGCTGTGACATGTATCCTACAAAACCCTCCATGTTGTCACAAAAGTAGCTCAGGCAGTTTTAGTGAGGCATGCTCTCCTCAGGATTACCACCCTAGGGCTTTTTCATCAGCTCCCACCAAGGACGTACAGAAAGAGAAACAAAACAAGCAAACAAATAAATCCACACCCACAGACAAAAAAAGCCCAACCCAACTGAAGAGTTTTTTCCATTCTAACTCACCAATCTTGTCAATCTCTTACCACCTTCCTGTTTCCTCAGCTGTCAAGACAACAAGTTTCCGCAAGAAAACTGCCAGCCCTTCATTAATAGAGCTTGTCAGCTGTGGGCTCTGTAACTGCATTTTCCTGCTTTTTAGCAGCAAATCTTAATATCTCTAAGAAAATGACTGCACAGCTAACAGCCTGCACTTTTCATCCATCTATAAATGCACAGCTGGCATCCTTATGGGATTTTCTATTATATGTATTCAGGCTAGCATTTTCAAATACTCAGATATGGCCTGTATTATTTTTTCTAGCAGGAGAAAAACAACAACAAAACTAGTGCAGATGTAGAGGGCTCTTCTCTTTCGGATCTTCATCTTTTGGATTTACCTGATGTTAACTTTGGGATTTGAACAGAAAAAGCTTTTAATTTTTATTCACTATTAGCTTGTCCCAGAATCTATGTAGTGGCTTGTAAAGAAAAAGGCTCAGCCTCGCCTTAGGAAGTATACAGCTGGGATCTGGTGAAAACACAGGTTCCAGTCACCTGTTTAATATCATGTCCTAGCTGCAGTTTTCTCCAGGGAAAATTACTTGTTGATAGACACTTGTAGTGGCCCACAGCAACCCCAAAAATAAAAAAGAACCAATCTATCATTTGCTGCAGTTTTACTTCCTTTCATTTACTCTTTTAGACAGTGATGTCAAAACTGTGCCCTTCTAGAGATAGTTACGTTTTTAACCTTTGTGAACATTAGCTGTTTCTGAATGGAACCCCCAAAGGCAGTGCACACTGTAGAGCCACCTTGTCAACTCACTTGGTAGAGCTACGTAGTAGAGATAGAATGAAACTTCAGGATTTATCTTTAAACATTGCCTCTCTGAAGATTCATATAAAGAATTATTATTACTACTGCTATGGCTATAACTGAGTTCTCTCTGAAGATAATTTCTTATTTTCCTCCCTTTTAGTGGTTTGAATTTGTGAAGTTGGATGTTGAAGTAAGAAGGTTATCGGTTGTTCTGTTGGTATGCTGTAGTCTAAAATTTGCAGTGTGGACTCAGGAAGTGGTAAAGGAAGATTTATCCTTCTGCTTCTGCAAAAACATAGTATGAGCAATATGGTCATGAAATAATGTACAGAAAATTGTATTTTTAAGGGAAAGCGGGATTTCTGTCTCATTTATGTCCTGTGTTTCATTGTCTTCCTAATTCAGAGTATATTCTATTTTTTGTTACATCTTGGAAGATTATTGAGGCAAAGAAAGTTCCACAAAATTGATTATAATTTTGAATTAAATGATATATATTTCACCCTGCTGGGCTGGAATAGATAGCTTGCCTCTTTGCAGGTAAATAGCTGAGCATGCTTTCCTGAGGAAGACTGAATCCAGTTTCAGTTTTTCTTAATCAGCACTCCCACAGCAAGTTTCTTAACTCACAAAAGAGGAAGAGAAAATTCCTCATTGAGTATTTTTCAAAGAAAGTCCAAATTTTAATTGCATTTTTTTTGAGGAATTTTGATTTTGTGATATTCAGATGTTTACAGAATGTGTAGTAAGCTACTTAGTGTAATGAGGCAAATGGTCATACTGTTTTCTGATTGTGTTTGGGTAGGTGGCAGGATAGTTTGACTGTGGTGCCTCAATAAAAATATTTAAGATAAAATAAGTAGACACATTTGTGACATTTCTACTTTACAGCTTCTTAAGATTTCTGCACACTTTTACAGATCTGTAAAGCCATGGAAATCATGTGCAGATGCTCTTTATGGCTTACTGTTTTGATGTTTGTCCATCATCCAAAGCATTTTATTGTGACACTTTTACCAGTAAAATGCTAAACTCATCTATAGTAGTATTTATGACAACTCTATATGTTAAAGGTAGTTAAAAGATAGAGGTCTGATTATTTGCATGTACTATTAGTTCTTATTTATTTGCTTATGTATTTTGTATGTGATTCCTGAGATCATAAATTCAGCTATTTACACTCAGTTACAGATTGAGAGATAACAGCAGAAATCTTAAAACTGGTTATGATGCCAAAGTTTTCCCGGTTGTTAACAAAGCCCTGATTAGAGCTGGTGAAATATCAGGAAACTGTTTCAAAAAATAAACCTGTTTCTGGAAACTGCAAAGTTCAATGACTGATGAATTCAACAAATGGAACATGACCACCTTTAGGGCTCTTGTCTAGCTGTGTAGGGCTCTCTCCAAGAAAATGCCAGAGGTTTTAGTGAGCCATTTGCATAGCTAACTCGATTTGCTCCAGGAGTGTGCAGATAATTTATAAACGTGGATTTCTAAAAGTGCAGTCCTATGACAGCAAATTTCTCAGGACAGCTGCTGGAAGCTAGGAAGTTAATGTAATTTATCACTAGCAGTTAACAGAGCACAAGCTTAGTGGATGCCTTTTAGATATTTGCAAATAGAAACACCTGTTTTGAAGTAGCCAGGTATCTCCGTATCTCCAATTCCCCACTGAGACATGCATAATAAAATGCAAACAAAATAAAGATGGGTGTTCTAAGACTGTTTTCTCTGCATTACTTACATCTTTCATCAGTCTATGTTTTGAGATGATATTTGTGCATTATAGGTGTGAAAAATGATAAGGAATTGCATCATACAGCATGTGCTCTGTTTCTAAAAGGCTTTATTGTTCATTAGTTAATAATTCCTTTGCAGTAATAATTTTGGAGAATTTGGTATATTATAAAGTGGCTTTGCAAGTTTGTTTGGAAATTGATTTTCCAAATTTAAGACCTCTCTTTTAGCAACACTCTTCCAGCAAACTTCACTGGAGTTTATTTTCCTCAGAGATTCTGTGTTCTGTTATTGTTTTGTTTTTTTTCATTTCCAGTGTGTTCAGCCCAGTTTTTCACAAAAGGTTCCTGTTTTGCCTGTCTCTCATCTAGGAGAGGAACAAACCAACTATCAGTGAGGATTTAGTGTCCATAAGGATGAAACAGCCAGGGAAGAGCAGGCCCACAAAAAACGTGACAGCAGAGCAAGGAAAAAATGGTCAGTTCACAGCCAAAAGCGCTGGAGAGGTAACCTATATACATTCCTGATTTTCTGTTGTATCTATTTTATAAGATACCTGGATAAATTTAAACAAAGAGATGAGAAAGTGAGCAGTGTAAGCCTCAGTGCTGTGAGGCTTATCCCAACTGACAGAAGCCATCTCTGCATTTACAGAGACAATTGCTGCATGTAAAATGACTTCAACTGAATACTGATTTTGTATGATAACAGTGACAGCCTCCATCTTTTTAAAAGCCTTTTTAGCCTACTCCCTTACAGCATTCTGCTTCTATGTTATTAACTCTTAATCACGTTGAATAGGAGATTGTAATCCTGATAATTCAGCTAAGTGACTTGTAAAACCTTCAATGGGCATAACAAAAAAAAATCTGAGACACTGCAAGAGTAACTACATTTTTACTTCAAAGGCTCATGAAGTTTGGTCATCTTCTGAAAATGTAGATGGTAGGTAGTCACCATAAAGTCTTTATCATGCACCGCTTTGTCCACTGTGAGGAAATTATCAACACATGTTAAATATGGAGATATCTAACTGATTATAGTACTCTTAATTGTATGTTTATTGAAAGTGACATGAAATTGTACCTGCCAATATGGAAATTACTGCGGAGATTATGTTCTGTTTCCCTCTTTTGCTTTTTTCCCACTAGCACAATCAAGTATATTTGTCTTGTATCCTGTTAAATAGCGCGTGGTGCAGGTGATCATACTGAACCAGCCTTTCTGCCTGAAGAAGTCATGATTCAGTGAGCAGGTAGGCATGCTTTCCAGCACACCAGAAGCTCCACATTTCAAAGCACACAGGTGTGACACACAGATCTGTTGGGTGTCCAGTGCCCGTAAAAAATGAGAGCAAACAGTACACTGTAAGCATGTGCTCCTGTTTGGTGCGGCTTAGCACCCTTGTATAAGAGACGTGAACAAGCCCTACCTGCTGTTATGGCTGTCTGCACACAAGACTGGAAATAGACAGCTTATTACAGCATGCTGAATGGTATCACTCTGGCATTTCTGTAGATTACCATGCTATTGACAGTTTCTTATCATTGTATTTTTAAGACACCTGAATTTAACCTTTCCTCTAGATAGTGAATTCTAGAGAAATACATCTACAATCCAAAGGAGTGTTCGAGCCATTTTTTTTTACAAAAAAGAAGGACTGGCTGTTGATTTTTGTTTTAACAAACTGTCTTGGAACTATACATTTTCAGAATATTCATTGCTAACATATTTAAATTTCTTTCCCTCCAGCATGAGCAAACTATTATTTACTCTCTGAAAGAAAATATCAGATTTGACAGTTGTAATATATGACATCTTTGAAATTGTTTGTGGCAATGGTGTTGTCCTTAAATCTGTCATATTAAGCACATCCCCTTCACTGCAGCAGCATTTGCGCAAATATCAGATGGGAACTTTCTCAGGGTGTATTATGTCTGCTTCTGCTGCTCAGGACAGAATCATAGTTCTGCTTTAATGGTTAGAGAAATCATCTGATGCTGTGGATAGCCATTTAGAATAACACTTAGACTGTTTATTAAAGGATTGTAAAATTTCTACTGACATGAGAATTGAACTCTTCCTTTATATTCTTCTGAGTTTAGATAAGGAACTGTCACTATGAATAAGATAAGAAATTTTATCTTATGGCAAAACTGTTTATAAACAGATGGCTGAGGCTCATTTGCATGGATCTGATAAAAAATTTTCTGCCTATATGAACCTCATTTCTCCATAAAAGAGGATGCACATAATCCCAATACTAATCATAGACTGCGATAAATGGGATCATGCATAGGATAATTTTCCAGTAATCTCAGTTAAGGTACTAAATGCATAGTGCATGAAGAAAGCTATCATCACAATGCTATCGTGATTGCATGAAGAATCCAGAAAAACTCACAATGAGTTAACTTTGGCCCAGTGGTTGATGGGAGTTGAGCAGAGAAAAGGATAAAAAGGGGGAAAAAAGAAAATTTAATAATTCAAAATATCAGAACTGTTTCCTGAACTGTTAAAAACCTTGAACCATTTTTCTGAGTGCAAAAATTATTTCCTGCTCTTCACTGACTTAAAATGTGAGAAAGATGTTGGTAGCAATGCAATTATGAAGGGCCTTTTCTTCACATGTAATGCTGCTGTAATGGGGGTGATGGAGCAAGGAATAATTTTACTAGGAAAGAAAGAGTTTAAGAGGCTTCCTTCCTTGCTTTCTTTAGTTTAAGTCTTGTGTTTCTTCTCAAATGAATATGTGATCCTTGTGACGTTCACAATTTCTTGTAGGCTTTACCTCTTCACATTGCACCATATATAGAACTATAACTTATCAGTCTGCTTCTTGTAGGATGAATATTGTGGTGTCTATCACTAATCAGAGCAATAAACTGGGATTCTTGCTTTCACTTGAAAACCTCAGTGAGCTTAACAGTGCTATCAGTGACCCTTTCCAGAACAAGTATTTTGTCTTTGTTGCTCATAGCTTTAATATTTTTTTGATGCTCAGACAGTAAAAGAGGTTGGAACTGCAGAGTGTAGTAAGCATAAAAGATGAAAAAACAGAATTCTGGTTTTTAAAAGCCTGTATATGTTCCCTATCAGTATTCACACATAATGATGAGGAAGAAGATGTTATGGATCCTTTTCTGTCATAAGGGTGTATGTGATTATAATAGTGTTTTCTGGCAATTTTAGAATTTCCTGTCTCTCACTTTTAATTGTCATTAATGTGTCTGAAAATTGTATACATGACATAATAATGTGTGTCTCAGGGTTATGTTGAGTGTAGAAGATTTTTGTGTTCACAAAGAACTGGCAGGTGTGTTAGCAAAGAAGTGATGAACACTCACTTAATCCAAGACATAATCCTTACAAGCTGATGAAGTGAAGTTTTGTTTCTGCGAGCTGTGTGTTAACATATTTTGTTCCTGATCATCTGCACATTTTACTCTCTTTATAGCACTTGTATAACTATTCTATTTTCTCCATGTAAAAAGGTGAGTACATCTTTCATGGTGGCATATTTTTAAAAACAAAAGAGACATTTTTCCCCCTAGGACTTTCAACCTGTTACTGCTATCTTTCACTCTGTTTGTATTTGTATACAGTCCTCCTATGCATCCTACTCTTCAATATGTTTCATCAGCTGTACAACAGACTACACTCAGTCTCTTCAGAACAGATTTTGTTTGCAAGATTAATGTTTGAGGTGGATTTGGAATACCTTTGGCCTGCTTTTCTAAGGAAATGAGGCATGTTGACTTACACCGTCCATCTGCCAGCTTTTCAGCCTTCCACTTCTTTTCCTCTGGGGACATTTACACCTTCTGGTCAGGTTCAACCAAGACCAAAGGCACTGAATCATAGAAGATCACAGAAAATTTATGGTGAATAGAGGAGAGAAACTAATATCAGTGCAACATCCTGACACAGTGCAGCACGGTGAAAGCAGACCCTATCTGACCTACCTAGCCTGCTAACTAGCAAGCATATACTACCTAGCTAATTAATACATGTATGTCTCCAAACTGACCACAAAACTTGCCTTCTCTTCCCTAGCTGGTTATTTCATGACTCAGGGAGGTGTTAGTAATGTAGTAAGGCTTGGAAGTTGTTCAGATAGATGGAATTGTCACAGTGATACCTGTAGAAGACACAAAAGAAAAAAAAAATCAGTAGGATACTAAGCTTCAATTGTTGAGATGCTCATTGTTTCTTTGGCCTAGTATGCTTTTCAGAAATTATTAAAAGAATGTGGGGGTACAATGTCCTTACTATATCTGAGTGTAAAGGAGGAATGTTTCTGCCCATCTTCCAGAATGTATGAATCATTTAGCTGAATCTATATATAGTTCATCTTTTTGGTTGTTTGTTGTTTTATGTCTCTTGTTGGGGATTTCTGAAAGTTGAAGATCAAATAATATGAAAAGTAAGAGAAGAAATCATTTTCATCATAGGAAATGCCCTCTGAATAGAAAGATATTTAGCTGTGTCAGTGAATAATTGGAACAAATTTGGAGAGTATTCACTCAGATAGAGGCACAAAATATCTGCACCACTTTATAGGAAGAACAGAGATATTAAAAAAAAAATCATTTCAAAATAAAAACATATGGTGGATCTTCACTTTTTTGGAGGTGAAGATTTTATAGTCACCATTGTTACCCATTGGGCCTATCTGAGCAATGATCTTCCAGTCTTTTTCACAGTTATTTTTTCCTAACATAGAGATTGGTCTCTTTGATCTCTTCTTTCCTGAACTAGAACTTAAGAAATAAACGAGAACTTCTCCAAAATTAATGCCTCCTATTTTATTGTTTGCCCGTGACATCAGAGGCAGATTTTGGTGATGTGTCAGTAGAAGTTGAACCTTCCCACCAACATTCAATTATATTTTGTTGCAGTGTGACAAATGGAAGAAAAGGGGCAGTGTGATAAAATGGCATCTGACATGGGCGTGTGTAGGAAGCAAAGGTGTGTTGTTGAATTCCTCCGTGTGGAAAAAACTGACATTCATCAATGCTTGATGAATGTTTTTGGAGATGAAACAATGGATATGAGTGCAGTGAGGCAGTGAATGGTGCATTTCAGCAGTGGTGATAGCAACAGTTGGTTACCTCCGCTGATGCAGATTTGTATGAGCGCAGCATGCAGGCTTTTGCTCATCACTGGCAAAAATGCATAGCCAGTGGTGGTGGCTGTGTTGAAAAATAGTGCTTTGTAGTTGAGAATTTGCTCTATCAAATAATGTGTTCTCTTTGTATTGGTTGTAGTTTCCAGGGAAATAAATAACAGGCATTACTTTCTGACCAAGCATATAGTATCATGTTTAGGCAATACATGATTCTTGTTGATTTCTACTCTAGCAAAATCCAAAGCTAAAGCCAAAGAGCCTCCACATTCCAATTGCAAAGATCTTCGTATTTCTACATAAGTTTTGGTTCCACATCAATCAGTATAAGATACTTTTCCATTTTTTTTCCACAAAAACAAAAACAAAAAACAAACAAACAAAAAAACCCACCACAATCTAAGTTTCTTCTATATTACAGAGCAGCTGAACACCAAGAGATCACGATAATTCTGTGTGCTGACTGAGAAGAAAATGAAGATTTTCTTCCACGACTGAAAATCCATTAAAAAACTACAATTAAAACAAAAAACCAGCAGATAAGCAAATATTCCCTAGATAGCTTCCTCAGGTAAGTCCTACTAGCTGTAATCTAAATACATATTTGGAAAACATTTTTTTACCTTCATATTTTTAAAGATATACATATGTGTTTGTAAATACAAACATTTATTTAACATTCTTGGAACTAGAAGACACTTATATTCCACAAATTACATTTTCTGCATGTGTGAATGTGCAAGAAATAGATTAAAGTGTCTTGTGTTATAATACATTTCAAGATGCAGGATCTGATAATAGCTGTCAAACCAGTCAAAGGTATAGCATGATCTTCAGTTTCAAGGTTGTTAACAAAATGTCTGCTCCATTTTTGAGCTAGGAAATCATATCCTCTAACCTTCAAATAATATTTAAAAAACCCTATGACTACCTTAGCTGTGACCCTGTTGCATTTCAGAAACTGAAAAGCTATACCTCGTGTGTGTACATTTACTTCACAGAATCACAGAATCACAGAATCACAGAATCACCTGGGTTGGAAGGGACCTCAAGGATCATGTAGTTCCAACCCCCCTGCCTAGCAGGGCCACCAAACATCCACATTCAGATCAGGTTGCCCAGGACCCCGTCCAACCTGGCCTTGAACACGTCCAAGGACGGGGCATCCACAACCTCCCTGGGCAGCCCGTTCCAGGGCCTAACTACTCTCCTTGTGAAGAACTTCCCCCTAACATCCAACCTAAATCTTTCCTCCTTCAACTTTGATCCATTTCCCCTAGTCCTGCTGTTGTCAGCCCTTCTGAAGAGTTTACTCCCCTCCTGGGTGTAGGTTCCCTTCAGGTATTGATAGGCTGCAATGAGGTCACCCCGCAGCCTTCTCTTCTCCAGGCTGAACAAGCCCAACTCCCTCAGCCTGTCCTCATAGGGGAGGTGCTCCAGCCCCCTGATCATCTTAGTCGCCCTCCTCTGGACCCTTTCCAAGATCTCTATGTCTTTCTTGTACTGAGGGCTCCACACCTGGACACAGTACTCCAGGTGGGGCCTCACAAGAGCCGAGTAGAGAGGGACGATCACCTCCCTGTCCCTGCTGGCCACCCCTCTCCTGATGGAGCCCAGGATCCTTCAGGAATTGAAGATTTCCAAAGTAGACCCAGGGTGCAAGAAAAAGTCAGTTAGCTATGTATTAGATGATATTATTATTATTATTATTATTATTATTATTATTATTATTATTATTAATTTATTTAGATTATTTAGATTATTATGAAGAATAAAACACACTGTATCATTATGGCATACTGTGCATATGACCACAGAGTTCAATCAAAGAACATTTCAAAAAATGCTCCTTTTTAAAAAAAAATTCTCCATGTAGAAATTATAGCTATATTTTTTCATTGGTAGCTGATTCATTTCAAAACCAAGTGAGGTTGCTATGATCTAGGGTGAAGTTTGCAGTCCAAATTTATGGAAAAAAGTGTTTGAGTGGCATGTGCATTTACTTGGCATACTGAAGTAGTAAATTGGGGTCTGTTGTATATGCTTCAGATAAAGGGTGGATGTAAACGTGATACTTTTTGCATATTAAATGAGTATCATTGTTGAAATTTTTATTATTAAGAATTTAGATACCTTAGAATTAAGTATTAAGTATTAATCTTTGGAAAAGGCTTCAGAATGTTGTACCACATTCTTATTGCATTCAACTATTAGTAGCTCTTAGATTCATATTTTTATCAGTGTTGCTGGAATAAGTTATTGATTTAATTTGCCTATATATTGTTTAAAACTACAAAATTCTGTCATATGACCAATGGGTCAGTGCTAATATTAAATAGGAGAGGTTATTACTCTCTTAAATAACATAAAGTTTCTTATTGAGAATATCAGTATTTAAATGCTTATAAAGGCATGCAAAGAATATTTATTCATAGTATTACAACCTCTTTAAATAATGCAAGAAAGAAAGCAACACGATGTAAGCACAATTAATTCAATAGATCTTTTAACTAAATATGCATAACACCTGGTAAAAAAAAAAAAGAAAAAGAAAAAGAATTTAACTGTAACCTTTATGGAAATGTATGATCACAGACTGCGCAGGAGTTGGAATAAAAAAAGAAAAAGGAAATCCAAATTAACATGTGAATTTTAATTAGGAAAAAAAGAATGAATAGAATGCAGCAGAGGTGTGCTATGGTTGTTGCAAGACATTGAGAAACAGGGCAGTAACACAGAAATCAGGCATGAGTTGTGACCACTAAAATCCAGGCTGTGTCTTTAATCCTAAAATCAGTGTCCTAATTTTTTAATCTCTTTATAGTAGGAACTGGATTTTAATTTTGCAACTGTAAAGGTTGATCATGGAACTCTGATTTAGCTCCACTCTTAAATCTCTCACAAAGTCACTGATTGTAGAAGAAATTTACACTTACAAAACACTTCACTCTCCTAGTATTTTCTTAGACGGCCCAAAAAATATCCTGACTTCAAAATTTTACTCGAGCATCAACTGCTAGGCATATCTGAAACAGTCCGTGACACTGGACTAGACAGAATCATTTTTAAGTCCCCATTTTTCTTACCATTTTGACTTTTCTTTGTTACTGTTTTTTTCTCATAATTCCTGAATATATACAGTACCTCACAAACAAGTCTTGCGAAAACTGATTAAAAACTGAATTTGTTCAATGGGAGTTTTCTTCCAAGGCTGTCATGATTTCAGTCATGGCTGTGAGTTCATGCAGTGATCAGATGTGCTAAGTGCTGTTTATCTGATGAGACTCAAGGATCCACATGAGGATACTACTTTTCTGTAAGTAAAGAAATAACATAGATTCAGCTCAACTGAACTTGTGAAGATGAGTTTCTAATTATTATACTTAATAACGCAAAAAGAGAAAAGGCAATGAATTCATAAGAATTTATTTGGATGCAAACCATCTGAGCAATACTTTATGTATACTCTGCTAATGGACGGTAAAAGCATTTAGGCAAGCTAATTCACTCCTGGGATGTGCTCTCATCAAGAGTCAACAGCGTAATACTCAGCCACTAGTGTGGTTAGCTATACATAAGAGCTGCAGAGCAGTACTGCAGCAGCACAGACTGCTGTAAGTTCTTTACTTCATGCCTGTATGTTGAAGGCTGGTGCTCATCAGCTGTTCAAACCATCTCAGCACAGCTAACTTAGCTTTTATCATGCCTTAGTGAAAAATGACAATTTAGGACAGTGCAACAGAAGTGGGAAACATAAGCAAATCCGACTAAAAGTTTGCGAAATTTCAGGATGCATTGCTGTTTGTGCCACTTCTGCTAGCGCATCCACAGCACAGCACACTGACTGCATTCAACTGTGCACCAGTCCAAACCTTGTGCCTAAAAATTTCATTTTTACCGTCAGGGACTGGAAAGGGGCTAATGACCTTCTTTAGCTTCATCTAGAAATATTATCAGAGGACTGGTATTATGGAACTGTCATGACAGAAGTCAATTCTCAGTGTTATAAACTGGCTTGGGAAAAAATATCCTCAACTGACCTAGGCATTTTCTGCAGCTGGGCTCAGGCCAGGATTCTCTGCAAGTGAACATCTCCAGAAATAACATCAGTTAGGCTCTAAGAACTAACTGGAATTGTTACACATTGCCAAGACATATCTTCTAAGGTTGGAGGGGGAGTTATGGGAGGCCATTGTGGTTGATCCCTCCTAAAGGCATCACAAAGGGCACGTCACATCCTGATCTAATCTGACAGCTGAGGTATGTCTGTCTCCATTCCCAGCAACCTCTTCCCTCCAAACATACGTTTTCACATAAAATGGTCATGCTTTCATAATTCTCATGCCAAAGTTTTTCTAGAGAGACAAAGTTACGAAGTTTCCACTTTATCCATCAAATTTTGGAGTACTTGTATGATTATTGCTCATAAACATCAGCTCTTCTGCCACTGCATAGATTAGATAAAGCTGTTTGTATCCCTGCTCCATCCTCTGACAAATGCTATTGGATACAGGAGTCAGATCTATGTTTCAGGCTGCCCAGTTCCCTGGAGATGAGAGCAGCTCTCTTCCCAACTCCTGTGAGAATCTCCTGAAACTGCCTGCTGCTTCCACCAACCCAAAGGAGAAGTTGTACTAGTCATGTGATTGCAGTCTGCTATTGCAAATTACTTTTCCCACCCTTGTTTGTGAAGAACAGAATGAACACATCAGAATTTTACTGGTTTCCATATTTTTCCCCCCTTGGCTGGAGAGAAATCTAATTGTGGCAGAAGCCCCAGGTGCTGTCACATATCTTGTGTGTTGCCTCTCATTCTGTCCATCAAAGTTGTCCTCACAAATAAGAAGTTAGCAGCCCAGTACATCCTTCAATTTTTTTTTTTTTTTGGGGGGGGGGGGGGAGGAGGGGAGTTGTGTTTAAATTTTGTGGCTGAATACCAGCATTTAGACCAAGAAAAGTGAGTAATAATTTTGATTTCACATAAAGACTAGCACACTGAAAATAGACTTCACAACAAGATTTTGATTTATGCTACTGGCAATGCAATCTCTTCCAGCACTGGGTTTTTAGCAAATATTTAGTGATTAGAAATGTCCTGCAACCAGACAGCTAAATCCATTCATGAAGTATCTTTATGTGTTTGTAGACAGAACTGTCAAGTGAATAATTAGTTCCTAAAATGTTTCAGGCTATATTGTTTTCTTAACAAATATGTTTGTCTACTTGCTTTTGACTGGTAGATTTTATTAATTTCTGACATGTGCTTTCCTCCCTTGATGGCTTCCCTGCTTAAAAGAAGAACACAATTATTCTGTGTTTGCTAGAAGTTTTAAAGAATGATAATTGTTTTATATGTAATGCCTTACTTTAAGTGCTGGAGATAACACTGTCTTTGTTCATTAACTTCATGACTCAACTGTTGTCCTCAAAATACTCGTCTTGCCAAGATCTCTCTTGCTTAATGAGAAGGCACAAGCAGCAAAACTACTAAATGAATTCAAGGACATTTCTGGAGATCTGCTTGCCTTCTGAAATGAAGATAAGGCCAGAAGGAAAAGACAAATCTTATTGCCAGCGTAAATGGAAAAGTGGAAAGAAAACATGGAAATGGTAAAAAGCTGTAAGCCACGGAGGGAGCTGTGTCCTCTGGGGGAGAGGTATGTAGATACAGCACAAGAAGATAGCTTTTAGAGACATGAAGGAGTTATGTAACATGATGAAATGCAGAGAGGCAGAGCTCTAGGGCACAATCATTCTCTGCTAGCACGATGCTCAGTCATGCAAAAAACATTTCCAAACAGCAAGTTAACTCAACAGGAATAGAAATTGCAGCTGCAATGAAAAAATGCTGTATTCAGCATTAAGGTTGCTCTGACTGGAAGCTGTGTGTGAGGAGTTCTCCTATTCAGTTCCATGTCCTTCACTCAAGCAGATGCAGAAAATTACAGAAAAGATTTCTTCCTTTGAAACTGTATATTTTTGTACTTGTTTCCTAATGGAATAAGGTTTATTGTGGTATTGCTGCCAGGATGTCCATTCACCTTCCCACCTGTTTCATTATTTTCACCTCTGTTTCCACAGACATTGGGACCTATTTGCTGACTTTGGAGAAAGAGTCTTATGTGCTATGTAAATTCATGGGTCAAGCTCAAGAGAAGACCTACTGTTCTGCTGAAGAGAAGGCAGGTAGAATTCAGTGGTAATATTGGTGCTAAGTGTAAGCCAAAAAGAAAAAGAAAAGGAAATCATGATGTCTGTGTTTCTAAGATAACAATATATTATTTTATTTTCTTTAGATATGTCTTGCAAATGCATCACAGTCTTGTCCAATTCTTGATAGGAGACTGAAATTCAGTGGTTGCAAATTCAGAAGAAATAGGTTTCACTAGCTCTGTTGTTTGGACAGGAGATTTTGAGATTTTTGTATATCAAAGAAAATATTTTATTCATAATGTCCCTGCACACTAGTGAGATGGACTATGTTGGTGAATGGCCAGGATGCTGGGTACAATTGCAAGAAGGGAAAAATTAGGGATGTTCTTCTTCACTGAGGTAATCATATCATGGTATATAGAGTCATATACTCCTTTCTGAAGTATTTGTTTAATTAATGCTCCCAAGACCAAAAGAAAATCTTCTGCAAGTATATGAACAAATGGGGCAGAGTAGAGAGGCAATGTTAAGCTGCAGTTTAACTCAGCAGTAACTTTTAGTCATCAAAGCAAGTCCCTTCGAAATGGATTCTCTTTTTGTAACTCAACTTACCATCTTTCTTGTTTTCACATGTTGAAGACTGTGTCTGTTTTTACCTCTAGCTGAATACCTCGAATTTGCTCAGCTTTCTAACACAGCTTTATTTATCATGCTTTTTGATTCCATGCACGCTTTGAGGGATGTTTTATGTTTTATTTATTTTTTATGTTTTCTTCTCTCACGTCCAATCTCATCTGTCCAAAAATCATTTCACAGTTGTTGTTGTCTTATTAATACTTAATTGATTAAATATTATAAAAACATTTTAATCTTTTGTGAACGATTCAGTTATTAAAAATGAGAGATATGTATTTGCTTAGTACTTAATTTTTTTTTAACATATGAAAATATTGAACACCTGTTAAGAATGAGAGAATAAGCTAAATAAAAAGGTAATTTCTCTTTGCCAGATGGGGGCTAATTTCCATTTCTTACAGATTCATCAATTTATTCCATCTTTAACCACAATGCTATTGTAAAGATGAAAATCCCAATCCATCAGCCCTGAAATGTTTTTTAAAGTTTGATGCTTGCAGAAAGCAACACATAGCTTTCAGAAATCACTAGAAAAGAGATGCACTAGATAATAAATAAGGAAGGTAATTGCACCCATTGTTTATGTCAGTAAAAAATGAGAATGCGTTTTAAAAAAAAAGAGCAAAAAATTCTAGCTGGATTATAAAATAGTTACACAGGCCTATCTCACCTTCAGAAATAACTGACAGTTAAGAAACCAGCTTACAATAAAATCCATTGGACAGTTTAAGCACCTAATAAAATGCTCTTACATATGGTGACTTGAAATGCTTTGTTTCATTACTGCTTTATCAGTTTACTTGTATTACAGCATTTCCCAAACTGAATCTGATTTTCTGTACCCCAATAACGCGCATAGTCAGGAAATTGGCCGATTAAATGTATAAAAAGCTTTGTTGAATGAATAACTTGTTCTATTTCCTTCCTTCAAATTACTCACTTTTGAAATGCTCCAGTGGCTTTTAGTAATATGTTCTAGTTCATAAGGGTGCTTAATCCTTAAATAATATGTGCGATGATGCAGTGGCTGATGAAAGATATGATCTTAAAGAGTTATTCTGAAAATGAGTGCAGAAAGTTGGATGATTTACTGTAGCTAGCAGAAGGATCTCTGTCTAAAGTTGCAAGGGAGGGCAAAAAACATTGTAGGTTAGTGAAAGGTGAAACTGCCCTTTATTGAAAATAATTTATTGAAAATAAGAAATTACCTGAAGCCAACAGATCATTTCTAAATAATTTCTAATAATTTCTAAACATTTCTAATAAATTCATACATCCAAACTGATTTGAGGGGTATCATCTTGTAATTTTTGTAGCTGAAGTTGTTCAGCATTTAGTAATGCAGACTACATAATTTTTGAACAATGGAGATGCTCCTTAATATACTATTTACTTTGCTAATGACGTCAAACCCAATTTTTCTTAGGAAAAGTTTTCCAGTGTTATTTTGCCATTGCTGAAATACATAGTACCAAAATGAAGACTTTCTAAAAGTTGTTTTCAGATTTTACTGAATCTCATTAAAGATAAATATGACTTCACTGCAAACAGATTTTATAGTTCTAGATAACCTTTGTAGTTCCAGGAGTCTCAGACCAAACTGGTTGCAAATGAGTGCTGGAATGTTCTCCCTTTCATTTGGAAAGCAGCCAAATTGTTTTGCATTTTTAGCACAAACAGCCAATATTAAGTGATAAAATACATTCTAGGCTATTCTGACCAAGAAAATAAATGTATGAAAGCATTTCCTTTCTGATACTTTGTATTTTGTTTTTTCTCCCTCCCATCCAAAGTTGTGACACTCATTACTCTAACTTAACATGAATTTTGGCACTGGCTCAAATGGAGACAAACAATCTGGAATGAAAGAAGGAACTTCTCACTGTCTGCACATGCAAAAATAGTGGTTTTTTTTCATTTAATCAGGTCTCAAGATTTATATACAAGGTTCTGAACAAGAATAAAATTGAAGAGAATAGATAATATTCCAAGTAAATGTAGTAATAATTAGTTCTGAGAAGGCCACAGTTACCATGGTAATATTAAAATTTCCTGGCACTGAACATGATATGTTATCATTAATTTTAGATACTGGTACAAGTCCATTATGATAGCACTGGGGCATAATGTGCATTCTTGGACAAGGGTATGCAATTAACTTTAACTGAGGGCACTGAGATATGTGATGGAGATCTGGTAATTGTACTAAAGTCTGACCAGCAGGAAGCAAGTTGCCACCTCTAGTGCTGCCAGGTTTAGTTCTGTATGTTCTCTTTTCATCCATGAAACACAGTGACCTGCATCTGCTGTCTGACAGATTGCAGAAAAATCAGAAACTCAGAAAGTTCTTCAGCAATGCTAGAATCATTTATTGCCAAGAGTTATCAGGCTGAATATATTCTCCCCACGTATAGATAGCTCTGCTTCAATGTAAATCCAGTATTAATTCCACAGAAGACAACATTTCCTGTACAAACCTAAACATCCTTTATAGTTTCCTGGAGCAGGAAACTAAATCAGTGAAATCCACTTTTATAGATGTCCTCACATAATAGGCTTCATTCGGTACATTAGATTTATGTACCAGTCAGGCTTTCATTTTTATTCTTGAGGTAGGAGGAATATAGGAAATCACAATATAAATATAGACACACCGAGGACATTAAATCTTAACTGAGATTATCTATTTCACAGAGGAACCTTACGTAGCTGGAGAGAAAGTGAAATGACAGAAAGAGAGCAAGGGAAAATGACTGCTGTGAGATACAGAGCATGTCCAACCACCTTGGCACAAGTCTGCAGCCGGGAATGTACAGGCTCTTCCTGAGAAAATCCATTTAGTGCATAGATGCGTTATAGAATGAAGTTTGTACAACTTTGTGGACTGAGCCTGTTTAGGCAACCTGTCTTTAGAAGAATATATGTAACTGGGAGCATGACACAGCAAGAATTAGAATAAATGGATTTCTAATTGCCAGTAATCTTACTTAAAGTTTAATAAACCCACAAAGTTTGGTGCATTTGGGCTGCTTAATGGTTTAAGCTTGAGATTGGCAGTTTCTCAGTGTTGATGGCTGCAGCTTTGTGGTGATTTGCCAAGCATAAACACTGTGCAAAGAATTCTTTGAAAGGTCACTGAACAGTTGCTTTGTTTCATTTCTGTATATTTAGATTATTGATATCCACACGCCATTAATCTTTTTTTCTAAACCCCAAAAATGCAGTGATTAATGTACATATTAATAAGGAGAAAACATGTTCCACCTGAATTTCTTTATCATTTGTGTCTGTACAGTGGAGTTTTATTAACCCTGATTAATACTATGCTACTTCATCAATCTGTTATCCTTGCACCTCATAGGAGTGGAAATTCAATCACACATACCACCTCATAATATTGTAGCTAATTCAGTCTAGAGACAAGTGCATGAACTTAACCTAATATGTTTTTCCCTGCAGAGATTTAATATTAACAGAGCTTAAGCAGCTATTGATTTATCTGTGCTGCTTAACATTCCTGTGCTGATCAGTTGATGGAAAACCTTAGAAGAGTGTGTTTACTTATGATACTTTCTGGACCCGTTGCCAGATAAATCTCAGTCCCATCAAAATAAATGTGAGTTTTGCTACTGGCTTCAGGGTTTTACTTAACTGAAAGAACTCATCTTGAAGAGTCTAGAAACTTCTGAACCTGAAGTATAATGCACATTGGGAAATTATTTAAAAATTTTAAAAACAACTTTTGCTGGCCAAAAAACCCAAATGCTTTTGGATTTGGATCTCTACTAAAGTGTCTGCAAATGAGCAGTTTTTTTATTAGCTGAAACACATCTGTCTATACTAATGATAGCAAGAGCTGAGATCAAGTCAGAAGCAATGCTTATGGAAATTAAGCAAGGCAAACTTCTGGAAGCGCAAAAAGATTAGGAAAGCAGTGCATCTGAACTGAAATTTTTGAGTCTGTGGGAAAAAGAAAAAGCAGCTAATAGAGAAGACTGACCTTTTCACTGTTTCCAGGAAACTTTTGTTGCGAATCAACATCCTCCAACTATATCTTCAGTTTTACTGGGGAATAGAGACAAGTTCCCAGCATCTGCTACAAATACTGCCCATTACTACAATTTGAACACTACTCATCATTCAGTCCATTCATGCCATATTTTTATCAATTGCTTCATTGCATGTGTTAGATGAAAGCTCCAGTTAATCTTCTGGACAAAACTGTATAAAACTGAGCTTATAAAAATCCAAAAGTTGGACTGAGATGTAATTGTTTGTTGCCAACCATATGACCTATCCAGTCAAAACTGGCATCCTCTCAGAGGATGTACTGGTGGAATAGGCTAAGAAGCTAGCCAAACAGTCTTTAGGTGAAAGTTGGTGGTTTTGTTGCTGAAATTGCTGCTGTTTTGGTTCATATTATTCTGCAGAGTATTTAAAGTGTGTCATTGAATGACACACACTGACACTTGCTATCAGGACCAGTCAAATTACCAATTATGAATAATTTATGTGAAGTATTCTAGCAATTTGCATCCAAAATTTTAGCTGTGTGAAGACTGGTATTTTACAGAAACACAAAGCTAAAGAAAATGTTTCAAATAATTTGTTTGTTCTTTTTCTCCAGTCAAAAAACTCAGTGTGTACCTATAACACGATAAAAGATATGGATTTCTCAGTGTGATAATAGAAATCTGCCTTTCAGAGTCATCTTTTCTAAAACAAGTTTTAAGATAACAAAAGGTTACAAAAGTCTAAGAATTTTTCATGGTAAGCTTTCTTCTTCATCATAGTTTCAGTCCAGCATAGTCAAGAATAAAAGTGACCTAACTCTTTCTCCTAACTTCTCTTTGAATTACTGGCAAGATTACAGTGTGCTGGCTGCAGGTAACTAAGCACACCCTTTCACACTTTACATCCTCATGTAGTTAATACTGTCCATACATCTGCATATACTTATACAAAAAATTCATTCAAATTGCACTGAACATGTGTATGGAGTGCAGGTTTGTACACTTATATGTGTACATGTGTGTATATACAAATATATTTGCAAACTGTACTGTAGATGTCATACTGACTTAGAATACATATATGACAGTTGCTTTTTTTCCCTAGGATTTAAATGGTAAATAAATACATACTTGATATTTTGTCTTCAGTCTTTATTGGAGAAGTTGGCAGTTTACAGATAGGAAGACTGCACCTTAAAAGCCTATAGTATTTACTAGGTACTCCCAAAATATATGTGCTTCCAATGGGCAAATTGTCTGCTGATCTTATATAGCCCACAAATTTATGTATGTGAAGTATAGACTTTTTCTGGTATTCTTTGACAGTACCATACTACTTTATATTCTATTTACTTTCTAAAACTTGGCATAGATTGCTCAGAAATGCCACTCAAATAAATGTTGGTGATATGTCAGTAGGTGCTGAACTGAAGTAGGTGCATGTGGCAGCTTGAGAAAGATAAAGGGTACATGGAATGCAGTTTATTGTGTAATGCAAAGGACGGAAGAAAGAGAAAGGGGGGCACGATAGTACCCACAGGTCCTCTACTCATGCATCGTTGCTATGTGAATTAAGTGAAATGGGATTCTGCATTTCTCTATTCAGACAAGTTTTTGTGGACTCTAAAAAAAATGAATCATTATTTGGTTTAGATTACCTGATATTCATCAGAGAACACCGTTGGCAGATTCGGTATTTTGATTGCAAGAAGGCTTCAAACTTACAATACTAGAAACTCTGACACTGTCCATGTCATGACCTAAGCAAAACATTTCATCTACAGAATTTATGTTTTTTAAATATTCCAAATGCCAAGTGTGTGCTTTTTGAAAGTCTTCTTCCATCGCTGAGAGAAAATCTGGGTGCATCTTTGAATACGATTGCATTTTAACATCTTTTAATGTCATGTTGTTTATTCATATATTGCTTAAAATACTGCTGAAAATGCACAGAATACTGTGTGAAACCACTAAATGAAACTATTATTTTCCTTTGTTCTATGCTAATGGATTCATTAATGGCTGTTCAGTTATTATCAGGGGCATTCTTCAGTTGTTATATTAGAAAGATCTTTATCTAGCTTTAATGTGAATGTGTTCATTAAATATCTGAAAAAGAGCAGATGATCTTTCCTGCAGAAGAATAACCTCCAAGCTCTTGAAACACTACAAAATGTTCTGGTAATTTCCTTGACTCTGATGTGTATTTGTTTATGCTCTTCAATTTGGGTTTTTTTGAGAGTGAGATTTTCCAGAAGATCAGAATGAATTGTGTAAACATGCCAACAACAGTAAACAAGGAATGATAATATCACTTCTGTATTTGTAGTAAGCAGTGCAAACAATAACATTGTTTTTACAGTTATGTGCTTTGTCAATCTTTTCTAAGGCACAGAAAAAAACAGGCTCTTATAGCTTTACTTACATTGCCTTTAATTAGTGATGAAATTGCTTAATTTGTAGATGGCATTATTTTTGTTGCTTACAGACTTTAATGCTTAATAATGATAGTTTAGTTTAAAGAGATAACACATAACATCAAAAAAACAAAAAGAAACATTTTGAAATTCCATCATTAATTAATGATGCCTGACATCACATCTATTTTTGCATGTATTACAAGTATACTTCACTGTTTTTACCTGATGACACCTTTCATAGCTCTTTGTTTCTATGCACACTATTTTCAGATTCGTAGTGCCTTCCAATAATAAGCCCATTGGAGGTATAGTTTTGTTATATAATGTTAAGGAACTTGGTAGAGATGTCTCAATTCCTAGTGTAATTTTGTACAGTTTTATGAATTAAGATGACGTTAGCAGGTGGCATAATAGGTGATATATATAATTGAAGTTATGGGTAGCTATTATCCTTTCTAGAAGGAAAGCTTGTACATGACTTGAATGAGAAATTAAAACTGAAAAAAGGGGAATGTTTTATATAATACTGTATCTGATACTTTTCGAGCCCATAGTGATGGTGTGCAAAATCACAGGTATGGATTACAATGCAAAAATGCTGTGAAATAAAACCGTACTGTGAGGTACCTGTGAGTCATGGTAACAGGCATGCCCATTTTGCTCTGCTTGTGTTACACAGCAAAGACATGTACCTTTGGTCTGGTACTTGCTCAAATGCTAAATGTTATAATCATGTAAATAACCTCATGAGTGGAAAAAAAAGAAGGTGGGGATCTGGGACAGTCATTATCCTTTTGAAAGTCGTGATAACACTTAGCATGTCTGAAAGTAATGTAAGCACTGAGTGTAAGTGCTATGCTGGATAATAGCCAGAGCACTCCACACACAGCAGACTACAGCGTCTGTTTTCTTGCAGCAGCAACTACTGACACTGTAGACAAACCATCTACATTTATCTTGCTGCCAGTTTCAGACCCTTTCCTGCTGGCACTGTTGCTTCCACTCATTCTGAATTGCACTTTAAGGCAAAACAAAAGTCCCTGTCAATGAGAGAAACAAAGAGTAAGTCCATAATAAATAGTACCATGTGGGCACAAGGACTCAAGCAGAAAGGGAGAAGGAAGAGCAAATTCTGAATTTTGTAGTGACAGAACATAAAAGTATTCCTAGAGAGCAGCTGCAGTGCTGGGATCCCCAATCAGATAATTTCCTTGAGGCTTAAGGGAGCCAAGAGCTTTAGCCACCGTTGACAAATGGCCGCTTTTACAGTCTGTTTTGGCTTTCAGGATTTTCTGTCGTCTATAAAAGGGAAGCTACCATTCAAATGTTAGTGATGGGCTTAGGGCAGAAATTAAAGTAGAGCCTTCTGTGCTTGTGTTATGTGGGAAGACAGATGAAACAGCCAGAGAGGTCCCTTCTGGCTTGAAGAGATCTGGGAGCTGTGCATAAAAGATTATGGCTTCCCACACAAGCTAGGTCAAGTGTGCAGGATAGATCTTGAGGGAGTTTTGAAAGCAGAGCGTTAGGGCCTGGCAGGTCAGAAAGGGTATCCCTCAGAGAATAAATTAGTGTCAAGCTCCTAAAATAAATCATATTTGGAAATACACAAGTGACCCATGTGCTTTAGTTACGTTTGTCCCAAACTTGTATGTGATTTCCAATAAAGTTTGAAAACATGCGTGGCTATAGAGGGTAAATTCTAAACTTTCATGAGCAACTGATAATGTATTTTAAACTCCTCTGTGCCAAAACTATATAATATGTGGGGCACAGCGGCTCCAAAACACTTGTTCTCTATGCCAGAGTTTAGACAACCAAATAAATCAGACAAGCATCTGGCCTTATTGTTGCAGTTAGAACTAGACATGAGGAATTACTTTGTATGAATGTGATGAGACAAAATTAAATTTAAACTTCTAACATAGTCAATAAATTTTACAATAGTCTAATTTTTCAAGGAACCTTGCCTCAAGCAAGAGCCACAATGGGAAAGATATATATATAGTTCTTAACTTCTAATGCTGAATATCTGTTTTCTCCATTTAATAGATTCAGTGCTTCATCAGTTCTATAATTGCACTTACCCAGTTAAGAACTAGAAGTACGAGGGCTGCTCTGAAAGTAATGCCTCCTATTTTGCAATATTGGCCCATGACATCAGAGGTGGATGGTGGGGGTATGGCAATGGAGACAGAACCATCTCAACAATATTCCATTACACTAATAAGTCATATAAACATCAGCTTTTCATCCATCCTGCAAATAGCACAAGAAAGTGTCTCCATTAGTGACTGAGATGTGATGTGAAAGCTCCACCTATTTTAAATCCATACAGTTCTCTCTTCATACGTATTTGTTATTTGTGACCTTTCAAATATTATTGTATTCAGATGGTAGTCTTGATGCATTCAACCTATGGACCATCTACCTGTGGAGGAAGATATACGAGTCTACCTTGTCATCAGAAATTTCTCAGAGAGGTAAATTTTAGATATGTTTTCTTTCTAATGTTATTATATTGCCAAGATTTTTCACCTCTGTTTAAAAGCTTTATAATTACCAAACATCAGCGACAACTGAAAAGGGGCTAATGAAAAAGTTACTAAGGAAGGAAAGAGATCCCTTAGAAGTTTTTTTTCAGAAATGAGGCTCTGAAATTATGATAACGTGAACAGAATATCAGATTTTGAAACTGAAAAAAAAAATACTCATGAAACTGAAAGAAATGTTGGTCCCCTCTAGTAGCTGCAGCCAGCCCATCCTGTTTTGTACAGCCATTATTCTGAAATGGCCTATTTTTATTTCACAGCACCTTCACACTTCATACTACTACCAACATTCGCAGCAGTAAATAAATTCATTCATCTGAATAATCTCACTGAACATGTGTAACAGTCTATGTTACAGTAAATTCTGGGTGGAAGGAGATAAAATAAGCCTCTGTTCCTCAAATCAGTGCTCACCAGGACACAGCCCCAGCATTAGTCAACATCTCTGCCTCCTTTGTGCTGTCTTATCTGTGCCTGGGGTGAGTGTAGAAATCAGAGCATGGCTGGCATGGAGTAGCAGAGGCCAGGAGAAAAAAATACAACCAGTCCAGTAGGATGACTGCAGAAATAAGTATGTCTTACTGTAGGCAAAATTGCTTACCATTATTCCACTGCAGGTTCTTTGGAAATCCTTATTACTTGCAAGTCTTTCTCATTTAAACTTTTCAATTACTGAGAGCTTCTGATGTGAATCATATGACATTTTTTATTCTTGCTTCCCTACTGCTCTGCATGCCCCAGAGTCTACACACCAATAAAAATTATCTGAGTGTTTCCACTTCACAAGAAACTCTACCTAAAGAAACTTAAGAAACTGTTTAAAATTTCATCAGTTTTCATTCTAGTCATATTTTCGTTTAGACCCTCCAATTTATTCACATGAATATTTGTTTGGGTGCAGTTATAACTATTTTTCCTTTTTTTAAACCCTTCCATATATTAGATCTGTGTTGAAAACTACTTCCACTTATTTTGCACTCCAACTTCTCACTACTTTTGTTGACTTTATGTAAATATTTTCTTTTAGGCAAGAGATTTCAAAGCACTTCTAATGGTTTTTTAATGCAAAATTACTGAAACTGCCTTCATTGGTTCTTTTTCCTCACCCAGATTTAAAATAGGTTTTTATAGACTACAAATTGAAGCAGGAAATTCATGTCTGTGCTACGAGAAGCATAAGAAAATACTTTAAGCTTTCCAAACAGAGTTGCTGTGAAACATAGGCATTTTGTTGTGCCCTCTCTCATCAGGACTGGCGTATATTCTAAGCACCAGAGATCTCAGACCACTTTAAAGACTAGCCACAGTTTGTGTAATCAATCTTTGTTTTTCTGCCTCAGAGTTTTCATATCATCTATAACTTATCTGTATTTCTGCCAGAATCAATAAATTCATGTGCAAATTAGAGTATTTTAACAGCCAGAAATATTGCATTGACTAGAATAATTCCATGAGACTTGCATGTGCTTATGAGACGTGTGTGTATGTTTCTACGCTCACATTTCAGACATGTCTGATGAGTGAGAAATGCCAGCTGCTGTCCCATGACAATACACACTGGACTGACTTTAAAGTAGCTGCAGAAAGAATCTTTAGAGAGATTGAACACCAGAGTTTTACTATGTGACAAGAAAGAATCAGCTCAGGTGGGATTGCTGTGTATCATCAGGGATCAAATCTGCATGCTGTTTACATCAGTGTAGCAATATGAACAATGAGCGTGACCATTGGAATTGGGCTCAATGTTTATCAATTACTGTTGATATCCAATTATCAAAGCACAGCTAAATTCCATACAAGATGTCAGCACAAATAATTATAGACAATTTTCTCCTACTCCACAAACTGACCTGGATGGTTCTCTCTGTGCTTCGTGAGTATTTGAAAAAAATTGTATTTCAATCCATTTTGGTCAACTTCTGAAGTCAGAGGCTAAAGTCAGCTGAAAAAATGTGTTCCCCTTTTTGCCTATTCCAGAAGAGATGTGGAATTGTTACACTCACGGCAACCATTGTCTTTCCTTGTGGAAGAAATTCAACGTTATGACTTAACCGAATCATCACAGAGGAGAAGCAGATGGGTTTTTGTGAGAGAAAGATCCCCACGTAGTTTTTAAAAATGTATCTTTTTTAATCAGAAGAATGTCTGGGAAAATGATGAAAACGCAAATAGCTACTTATTAAAATAAGCTGTAACAAAACTCCCTGAAGTGAGTTAGTGCATTTTATTTTATCACTGAATTAAAGTTTAATTTAAGCTCCCATAAAAACTAACTTAGACTTTTACACTGACTTGTAAGGAGTATATGCTATATTCAATAATCCTTGTCAAATAAAGGCACAAATCTAATTAAGCAATAAATCCATAAAAATTGTTACACACAGTTAATGAGTGGCTTGCATTTTCATAACAGCAATGGCATATTAAGAAAGCATTAGCTGTGGTAGTATGGCTGGAGTAGTTATACTGATAAATTAGTCATTCTGGCATTTCATGACTGACTTTTAATCACTTCGAGTTGCAGAGATGTGCTTGGTTTAGAATTTGTGCTATTATTCATAAATTCTATTAAAAGAGAGTTAATCTAAGTATCTATCCATATTTGTAAGATATCAGTTTTACAAAATGAGTTAGTTTTTCATCTCAGCAGGACAAGCAGCTCTGGCTGACAGCAATCTAGAGTTGATACTAAAAGTTGGGACCAAAACCACCAGTTTATAACTACAGATTGTAAAATCAGTGTTTTTAACAGGAATCTAATAAAGAGATACATTGCTGTAATATGTTGGTTTTAGGAATATGACATTAGTTGAACTCATATACTCTGGTCTTAATGACAGGACATGTCTCAACCTTAGTTCATAATTTGAATTAATCCAAAGTTAAAACACCAATAGTATCTACTCCTCTCTCCTCCACTTTCAGTACTATGCAATTTGGTGGGTTTTGTTACTGTTGTTTGTGGATGGTGTTTTCTGGAAAGCCAGTTAGTTACAGGCTTCTTCCTGTTGCATGTTAATCCCACTGAGCAGCACTTGGTTCCTGTTTATTTATCTGATTCTGGCAAGCAGGAGCGTGCACACTCAGTACCAGCAAATCCACTAGTCTGTGGGAGCCGGAGATTAGCATCTGGGGACCAAAGAGTGGTGGTCTGCTTGGGGTTAATGCCCCTTTTTTGGGGTAATGCTGCTCCCCAAGCCCTTACTCTCACATCAGGGAGGGTCTTCACCATTACATAGCAATTGTGCTGCCTCAGTTTGGGACAGCAAATGTCTGTGATGGAGTCTCTATATTGCTCTGGCTTCAGATACTGCTACCTTCTCTCACATATTTCATAAATGTACTTTATGTTGATAACATGCCTTTAAAATTCTGCTGAATGGAATAAAGGATACCAAACAGTAAATTGAAAAGGTATAAAAATGGATCTGTCACGTATCCTATAGTATATCTGCAATTTCTGCAATGCTTTTAGCAGTAAGGAAGAGCCAGGTGGTGTTTTTATTTCTAACAGATACACATTATATGCAGCTGGTTTAGTTTTTAGTTTAGATGTTGAAAATGTGTATGGAACTTTTAGCTGCTGTAATATGTTTAGTAATAATATTCCATGTCCCTGAAGCCCACTCCAGCTGGAGATATAAATCATCTAAACAGGCATTAATAAATTAGAGTCTAAAATACCTTTACCTTCATTTAACTTATTTTGAAAAAGAAACCCTTTATTCCTCTTTAAAATGAATCTAAGATATCTGTTGTTTTTAAAGAAATAGCACTCGGTTTATTTATTGTTCGTATTTATGGAAAAAAAGCTGGTAAAGGTTATAGGCCAGCTTTATTTATATATATCTTTCAGAGCAAAGGCCTGCACTTGTTCATGAATGTCAGAGGTGAAAATCAAACTTCTGCAGAAAGGTCACAAAGCTTTCAAGATTTGTTAGATACTCCAAGAAAATCTTGTATAGGATTTAAAAAATCGGTAGGATTTCATGTGTGAAGAGGAAAGAACTGCAGAAGCTGAGACATCATTCATCTTTGATTCATCATTCTTCTTAACTGCACCTGAAACTTTTTCTTTTAAACGTGTGTTACTATAAAAATTTCCCCCATAGAGTCACATACTGTAAAATTGTGTATTATTTTTTCTTGAGTAGGTTCCCCTCTTTTTCCACTAAGATGTGATAAGTATTTAAAGGAAATAAAGGTGTTGAGCTTGTGGTAAAAACATTCACCTCTACTTTTTCACTTGTGTGTGGAGATCCTATTTCAGAGCACAAGTGCTGGGAGTGAATCCTATAAACAGCCACATCCTGACACTTTTGGGGCTGTGAAGGCTTAAGCAAGGGAGCTAAAAGAGAACTAAAAGATGGAACTTGGAAAATGATCTCCTGTTTGGATGACTTTCTCCAAAGACAGAATATCTTGCATTATAAGAACTCATATTTTATAACTGATCATAGAATCACAGAATCATAGAATCATAGAATCATAGAATGGCCTGGGTTGAAAAGGACCTCAATGTTCATCTAGTTTCAACCCCATGCTTTGTGCAGGGTAGCCAACCACCACACCAGGATGCCCAGAGCCACATCCAGCCTGGCCTTGAATGCCTCCAGAGATGGGGCACCCATAACCTCCTTGGTCTACCTGTTCCAGTGCGCCACCACCCTCTGTGTGAAAAACTTCATCCTAATAACTAACCTAAACCTCCCCTGTCTCAGTTTAAAACCATTCCCCCTTGTCCTATCATTATCCACCCATGTAAACAGTCATTCCCTCTCCTGTTTATATGCTTCCTTTAAGTAATGGAAGGTCACAATGAGATCTCCTCAGAGCTTTCTCTGAGCTAAGCAATCCCAGTTCCCTCAACCTTTCCTCATGGGAGAGGTGCTCCAGCCCTCTAATCATCTTAGTGGCCCTTTGCTGGTCTTATTCCAAGAGCTCTGTGTCTTTCTTATACTGGGGGCCTCAGGCCTGGGTGCAGTACTACAGATGGGGCCTCACAAGAGCTGAGTAAAGGGGGACAATCACCTCCCTCCCCTTGCTGGCCACCCCTTTTTTAATGCAACAGTTGGCCTTCTGGACTGCACAAACTGCTGGCTCATGTCTAGTTTCTCATCCACCAGGATGCCCAAGTCCTTCTCTGTGAGTTATACTCAAACTTGCCAGAAATACTAGAAAGTTTAGCACATGAGAGACAAGGGGGTAGTTGACAGCTTCAAAAGTTCATCTGATTCAGGAATCTTGGATGGAGCTTGTCTGAAACTAGAAGGTTGCCTGCCTGCCTATGTTACTGTAGGCAGCGGGAGAAAATTGGTTGGACTGGATGATCTTGAAGTTCTTTTCCAACCTCGGTGATTCTGTGATTCTGTGTAAGTTGGATAAAAGATAGATGGCATGCTGTCTGTGTGGATAATCATAATATCACAGAATCATTCAGGTTGGAAAAGATCTCTAAGGTCATCTAGTCCAACTGTCTACATACCACCAAATGATGCGAGTAAACTTGCTCTTATTCTATTTATGCCTTCAGGATCTAATCTGGCAGGGATTCAGATAGCTCCATACAAGTCTAACATTAATTAATTCTTCTGTTTGCTGGCTTGTGTAGATCATAGCAGCAGATGAATGATTGCATGGCTTTACTGTAGTAATAAAGATGAATTCCATGGTATGTCATCTTTTTGAAGATTAACAAGATTGATAAAAAACTACTGAATACACTGTTACATTGTAAAAGAAGGAAATCTCCCCAAATTGTTTAAAGATGTTGTAAATACAAGAAATTGGGCTCGCTTTTCTTTTGTTTTCTAGAAATTGCTATTATTTTTATTAAGTCATTATTTCTTTCAATAATCGAGTTTGCAAGTCATTTACATATGACAGTAAAGTGCTTTAGTACATCTGAGAGTAAAGTCAGAGAAGCCACAGAAAAACTGTTTGTTCAGATATAGGATAATAAGTATTTTCCTTATGGTCACCATTGGATAAAATTCACCCAGTGAAGAGCAGTAGTTCATGTGTGTGTGAATGAAATTTAATTAGAACTTATATGACATGTATAATTGCTTTCATGAAGACATTTCCCACAGGGGCAAATCTCACTTCTTTTTATTCCACGATCAAGAAATTAATAAAAAAACATTCCAGAATATAATTTTAGTGGTGTTTTTTTTTTTTTTTTTTTTTTTTTTTCCCCCTCATTAGTCCTATCTTCAACTTACAAGACATCAACTTTAAAAACATCTGTCCACTGTTGAAAGGTCCATGAACAAATTAAGAGTGCATTTCAGTTTTACGATAGCTATCACAAGTCATCCACTTAAGAATATTAAGGTACTACCACAAAGACTTTCATATTTAGAAAATGCAGTTTTCTTATCAAAAAAATGGCAGAAAGAAATATTCATATGAAGACTGAGAAGTGATTTAACGTTAATTCACCTCTTAAACTGTTATGTGTCCTTTTACATCTAGTTGAAATCTTATAATCTGTATATTCTCATTATCTTTCAGTTGATACTCTCTCAAAATTTCTTCTATTTCATTTTTGTTAAGCTTCCCGGTACAAGTATAGAACATCCTTACAAAGACCATGGAGTATTCCTATATTCTTTAAAATGTATTTGTCCAAAAATATCTCTAAATCTAAATGTCTACTTGTATGCTTTGCAGTTATTCACTGTCAGCTAAAGAATCTTTCTAGAATTTGTGCTGATATTCACAACCTGATTGCCAAATGGTCACATGGTATTTGTCTTTTGCTGTAGGAAGGCCAACACAATGCTTTCCATGGAGATGTTTACAAGGTTTGTAAAGGGCTGAAAGGCATTTGGGACCACAGAGCTTGTGAATAACTGGAAGGCTGCCCAGGAGATCAAGGATGTATATTGACTTAAAGAGAGAAAACAAGTTGGCATGGATGGAAACTGAAACTTATTCTCAGGAGAGGCAAGAAGGATTGCCAGCTACACAATTTCAATTCTGTATTTTCACTTTTCTTGTAATGTTTCAACCTACAGTATCAGTTTCTTTAGTGAAAGAGTCAAAGCTATACAACTGTGCTGCATCAAACAGGGCACTAAGTTGGTCAGCTGAACACCCAGAGTCTGCAGTGCCAGAAAGCAAGCTAAAGTATGGATAAACACTTCACTGTTTTTTGCTAGTGCTTCAGCCCATTTCCTGGTCTTGTTTACTTTACAGATATGTATGTAGCCACCTGTCTGCCAAAGCTGTAACTTTTCCATGAAGTCATATTTATTAGTAGAATAATGAATGAGACAGATAATCAATTCTGCATTTCAAATATTGCCTCATTAGTGCCCTTGTTTAGTGTCAGGGAGAAAATATCTAGCAGGTTGCTTGGCATTTCTCTTCTCACTTTTGGGAATTACATTCCCCTTGCTTTATATTCTTTACCTATTGTGTTGAATTTGATTCTAGCCAGTAAACATATAATCCTTAGCTTGCATCATGCTATATGTTTATGAATTTTGACTGGTTGTTTCTTTCCCTGTCCCTCAGATTTGCTAACTTGTTACTCCAAGTTGTGTAAACTGCCTAGTCAACCTAAGCTTATTCTGAAGAGCAGCCGAGGACGCTGCTGTGGTCCCCATGCCATGCACAGCATGAACATTGAAGCTGGGCAGAAGTATTTATTCATATGAGTGTTTCTCATCTTAATGTAACTTACTATCTGTATGCAAATGCACTATGATCTTCCCATTCTTGGCTTCTTCTCATTATGCTTTAGAGCTTCTGTGTCATTGATTGTTCTTCACAGCCTAAGAGAATCATTTCCTTTAAAGCAGTTCCAGCCTAAAGCACTTTACACCTGTCTCCTCATTTTTGTTAGTCACTTGTTGTTACCCCAAAGCCATCTCTTTTGATCTCAATCCAGTTGTGTTTTTGTAATTGTTTGTTTAATGGTTATGCACCAGAACTTCAACAAAAGAACAGATCTGGACTGCAAACGACTTCATTGTATTTTATGTTAAGAAGGCATCATTAGCAGTTATATTGCATGGTATTGCTGATGATCTTTTGCAGCAATATGAAAACACCAGAGAAAAGGTTGAGCCTGAGAAGGAACAACTGTGACTGATCAGTGAAGTATATAAGCAGACACTGCATCAGGGAAATGGCATATAGAAGCCTCACTCGAAAAAAGTATTTTTTATATGATATTTTTAAATGATTGTACAGAAGTCTGGTAGCATCTTTTATACTTACATAATTTTCCAAAACCAGTTGGTGGAAACTGAAACTACCAAGTTTCAGAGCAGTACTCTGATTTTTCTGTTCTGTCTTAGGAGGACTTATCACCTTCACATTTTTCTCTCCCTTTTTCTCCATTGTATCTTTACTCTCACAACTTTTGCAATTTTTAATTGCATCTATATTTTAACAAATCTTCTACAATTTTCAGCAAATCTTTTACAGGTGAAAAACAAGGTCATCTTTATTAAATATTCTTCATCTTCCAGAAAAGCTGTTTTTTTATATTGTCATCTTACTTTACCACTTTCATCATGTCATGCACGTGTTCATAATGTACAGTGTCTATGGAAACTGCATGTTCTGTAAGGTGCTTTGCTTCAGACTAACCAAGAAGTATATAAGGTCATAAAAGTAGTATTTGGAAAGTGCAACTATTTTGGGTTTCTTGGATACCATGATCTCATAGGTCATATTCTTACAGCATCTACGGAAGGCACAGAAAAGCTTTCTGAGCTATAGAACCTACTGGGAAAACAAAACAAAACAAAACAAAACAAAACAAAACAAAACACAAAAGCAAGTCAGTCCTGTACCAAAATGATACTGAATTTCATCTATTTATTTATTTATTGTAAGAGAAGTTGAAGTTTTGTGGGTATCTTTACAGTTATAATTCTCTTGATTTAGTAATTAGTCTTTGTCACCTCATTAATTTTAATTTAACAAGACTCTTCACCTTCATCTAGGAATCACCGCCTTTGTATTTGGGAATTTTTAAGTCATGTATTATCAGTCATGCATGATCAGCATCTAGGTGACTACGAGTCATTTTTTAAAAAGTTTTGTCTTTGGTCTGCTATTACTACAGTATCGTTTTTAAGTTAATTCATCCTTTCTTATCTAAACTTTCTAAATTGTGAATGAAATAATGAAAAGAAATACAAATTCCCCATTTTTTGAAAGCATTGTACCTGAAAATTCATAATGTAGATAATTTGTTAGGAT